CAGTACTAAGGCTAGAGAAATAAGGACGTAGCTGTAAGGCTCCTCTCTAAAGCTATTTTGTTTCATTAAATTTCAAGAAAAAACGATTAAAAATAGCCATAATGGGTGTGGGTGTGGATGAGGATGAGGCGGCCACCGTGTTCTCAAAACAGGCAACGTTACTAAAATAGTTAGAAGGTCTCCTTCCTAAGTTCTAAACTACCTTTCGTTTATTATGCACGCCTAATTTATTTGTCCGAATCACTATTTTCCTCTAATATTAACATGATAATGTAATTAGTGCTAGTCACCTTTACACTACAAGGTTTGGGCTGCTTTTTAAAAAAGCTTTTGTTCTTCTATTACAAAATTTTCGATCAATTTTCGTATCCACCAATTTTCGCTCTCCCGAGAAATAGATAAAAAGGGTTGGTTCGATAATTTTTTTCTAACAACAATATTTATAAATAAATATATAAAAAATAGACAAATTAAATAATTGGAGAAGAATCTATAGATGACTAATAGATACATATGATGATCAAGATGAAATTTTAATTTAACGTTCAACGTTGCAGTCTTTAAAAGACCATTTTCAAGAACAATAATAATCTTGATATTTAATTGAATGTCTAACATTAGTCATCTAGTAGATTCTTCTCCAATTATTTCAATCTGTCTATTTTTTTTATGTATTTATTTATTCTCAAAATCGATCCTGTTAGACATTCAATTAAATATCTAGATCATTATTGTTCTTGAAAATGGTCTTTTAAAGACTGAAACGTTGAGCATTAAATTAAAATGTCATCTTGATCATCATATGTATCTATTAGTCATCTATAGATTCTTCTCCAATGATAACAATATTTATCATAAATTTCTTCGTCTTTCAGCACCGAAGGGTACAAGCATAATAAATACAAATACACATCCTTTCTTTTTGTTCAAAAATAATAGCCGCTTATAATGATTAGTTAATTCACCAAACCAATGCAGTATGCTGCACGAGTCATCGTTCCATTCAGTTATGTTCAAGATACTAGGCTCTATAAAACAGAAAATGTTTTAGTTTTACTACTGCTTCCCACTATCTATCTGTAAGATCTATAGCTCACAACTGAACTACGCACTATTTATAAAAAAAAATCTATCCATGTCGGTTGGACACGCTAGCGGCACATGTGTCGACGCGTGCAGAATGACACATGAAGTTCTGTCACACTTTGACACTGTGTTACAGGGTGTCGACACATGTACGTACTGTGTGTCATGATATGTCGACACATGTGCGACCATCGTGTCACAAACGTGTCTGTGTCATTTTTTCTAATCACTGTATTGGTCCATTTTCTGTCGCTAGTAACCGACCAATCAGCACATAGTAGCGATGACTAATCTCTCTTTTTAGTTTTGTTCGGAGAAATTAAATTCATTTTTTTTGTTTTAAATTCATTTTGTGAAACACGATTTGAAAGGAGTGTTGAAGGATATAGGGTAGAAATTTGGACTCATCCACCGCCCCCCCCTCCCACTGGGACAGAGAAATTAATTAATTAGTTAGCTGGTTAATTAATTAATTAATTTGTCTGTCACGGCCTGTGATGGTTTCTGAATTCTCTGTAACGATCTGTGGTGGTTTCTAGAGACTTCAAACATCATAATACAGACTGTAACAGAGAAGGTCCGCAGACCATCAGTGACCGTGATTGACGAATTCCAGAAAAGAAGCTTCATCGTGCTTCAAAAATATATTAAAAGAATAAGAAACACTGAAAGAAAAAACATTAATAAAAAAATTTTAAAAAAGTTAAAAACAAATTGAAAGAAAATTAAAAATGAATACAAAACTCGCAACAATTACATAGTTAATAAAAAAAATTAAGAATTAAAAGCTAAAAAAATTACAAAAACAAAAAATTTGATGGAAAGCGAAAATTGGATTGTTTTCATTCTTTGAAAACCAAATGCACATGCCATACTCAAATCAATCTAAAAGAAAATTTAATTATTTATTAGTTGAATTTTAAAAAATCATTACGAATTATTTTAGAAAAACGACTTAGATCTAAAAATGAGAACTAAAGTTTCTAGGTAAAAAAAGACGTATTTATATCAAGGGGGAACAAGCGGACTTCGGTACTTCCGAAGTACAAAAGTACGGAAACGTACCAAGAAGTACCGAAAAGTATCGAAAAGTACGAAGAAGTACAGAGAAGTACCAAGAAGTACAAGAAGTACAGAAGTTCGCTTGTTGTCCCTCGATTCATATTCCCGAGCACATTTCTCTTCTCTCTTATGAATTTCTATAGAAAACAAATAGCATCCGGATCGACCGTTTCTTTCTTTCCTACACATTTATCCGTATTTTATTGATATTCATCCAAGACACGCCACCAATACGTATGTCGACACTTGACGTAAAAAAAAGAATGCATCAATACATATCGTTATATGTATATGCACCGTATCGTTGTGTCGACACATGTGTCGCTAGCGTGTCCGACCGACATGGGTAACCCATGTCGATAGGACACGTTACCGACACATGTGCCGACACAACGACACGATGAGCGTACGTGTATCGACACGTGTTGTCACGTTGAATTTTCTGCGCGACGTATGGCGACACATGTATCGGTAACGTGTCTTGGATATATATCGATATAGTATGGATGAATGTGAAGAACGAAAAAGAATCGATTCATTTTTCTTTTTCTTTCCTCTGAATTTTCTCTTGCGTTCGGGAGAGAAAAAAAAAGAAACCTACTATAAATACTTCACTTTCGTTCAGAAAACTTAGTTTTTTCTTTGATCTAATTTTGAACAGATGCTTTAATCAACATTTTTTTTCTTTTTTAGATAAAAAACTGATGTCATCCAAGTGCAATTCGATAATAAAAATTTAATTTTCAATTTTTTAAATATTTTAATCAAATTAATTTTCTATATTTCTTAGCTTTTTTAGTGCATTTTTATATAATGTTTTTACTTAAATTAATTTTTTATACAATATTTTTAATTAAATTAATTTTTTACATTTTTTATTGTATTTTTTAGTGCATTTTTTTAATTTTATTCTTTTTTTAATGCTTTCTGTTTTTTCTGTATTTTTTTCAATTCTTTTAGGCTTCCAGTTTTCTTGGTTTACATTTATTTTCTATTTCTATTTTAGGTTTCGAATTTTATTTCTTTTAGATTTCTAATTTTTCTTCTACTCAATTTATCTTTTTTAGTTTTTTATACAGTCCTCTTTAAATATTTCGCTTTTTTGTTTTCGATTATTTTTTAGTTCAATTTTTTTATTTACTTTCTTTATTGGATTTTTTGTAATTATTTGTTTTCAATAAAATAAACTGAATTGATATTCAATGGAAATTATTTTCTGTAAAAACAGGAGGGGAGAGAAGCAGCAGGAGATTAGTCATCACTAACGCTCATTGGTCGACTACTGTCGACAAAAAATGGACGAATAGAATTTTCAGAAAAATGACACAGATACGTCTGTGACACGATGGTCGTACATGTGTCGACACGTCATGGCACTCATTGCGTACATGTGTTGACACTCGGACACAGTGTCGAAACGTGACTGATCTTTTTGTGTCACACAACTTGTGTCGACACATGTGTCGGTAGCGTGTCCTATCGGCATGGGTAACTGAATGTACAAGAAGAGGTCGCTACACTCAATGACTTAAAATATACTGTATGAATAAATTGTTTTCTATGTTAAAAAACAGACACCAAAATTCATTCCACATATTCGTCATTTTTCGTTCCGAACATCTGGACGGTTTTTATTCCGAACATTCTGAAAACCAATTTTATGTTCTACATCAGATTTCGAACATTCGGTTATTTGGCCGAATGCCCGGAAGATTAAGGACGAGAAAAGAATAAACCCACAAAATTATTTTCAAGAATTTTCCATCACCAGTTAGCAAGTGACTGGAAATGACTCCGTTACTAAGTAGTTGTTAATTGCGCCGCTATCCGTTACCAGTTACTTGGTAACGTCACAGTATCCACCCCCACTCCCCAGCGCCATCCAACCTCGTCATTTTACATCAGTCGCGAGTTCGAAAACTGTATAACTTGTGAAAGATATAATTGCTTCAAGTCAACTAGGGAGCTCAAGAAAGTGTCATGCTATATAAATTTTCACTTTTTGTTTTAAAATTGAAAAAATCGCTACCTTAGGAGGATTTCATGACTCCCTCGACTCCTTCAAAACTGAAAAGGTTGTGACCCTTTCATCGCACGCTTCCTGTTGTACAGACCGAATGTGCATCAATCTATGTAAGAATCGAACGAAATTGCGTTGTCATCTCTGGCTTAAATTGAAAACGATGGATTGCTCTAAATCGATGGCATATTATTCAGTATTTCACTCTCTCTTTGAAGAAGTATTTCTTGGAATTATGACAAAAGTACTTTTCAACTTCTCGAATATGCTTCCATTTATTTATAATAAAAGACTTACTTTCCAGAAGATCTTTGGTATCTTGAAAAGTCTAACCTATACTGTATGTATGTGTACCGCTATTCTATATTTCCATCAGGTGATCAATATGAGATCAAATACCACTATTACCTCTGGCAGATGTGTTATTGTGCTTCGCGAAAGTGACGGCCGTTTAGGTAATCGAATGTTCATTTACGCTACAGCGCTTGCTTTTTCCTTAGACTATGATTGCCATATGTATGTTGAGGCACATGTTCTTCAAAAGCTGCAAATGATATTTCACATCAACCCAATAAGGCCTGTTTCAGAAGCAGAGTTCCTTCGGATTCGCATCTCTCGGCAGTTATATAACGGTTGTAAGTTTTATGGATCCGTAATGTATCGAAATTCAAAAGAAATATTAGAACTGACGGGATACTGGCAGAATTATAAATATTTCAATCGGAATTGGAAAGAGATTCGCAAACAGTTCACTTTTAAAAAGGAAGTCATGTTAAACCTAGGCATTCAGTTACGCGCGACTAATCATACTATTTTGCGAATGATATCAGAAATGATTCATGAAGTATATAACAGTCGGGCTTATTTTGACAGTGCAGCTCATCGTCACCAAACGGTCAAGCAATTAATAAAAAAGGCAAACCTCACGTTAATTGGAGTTCATATTCGTCGTGGAGATTTTCTCGGGAAAGTACATTTAGGCTTCGCAGTGTCAACAATGTCGTATATATTGCGAGGTTTACTTTACTTCTCACAAAAATATCCAGATTCTATATTTATAATTGTTAGTGATGACAAACCGTGGTGCCGAACTAACATTGGAAGCCATCTCAATACGGTTGTGCTACCCGAAACTTTATCAGCCTCTGAGGATATGGCTATGCTCACCCTCTGTCGAGATTCACTCATTACGACAGGTACTTTTGGTTGGTGGGCAGCTACTTTGGCCGGTGGCGTTGTTTTATGTGACAAATCCTATCCAAAAAATGGCACCTGGCTGTCAAATTTGTGCCCCAGTGATCAGTATCTTCCACCGTGGTTCGTTGGTATTTGATTATTAACTTGATTCTTATATTGCTTTCAAACCGAATTTTGGATTGGCTGCCACTGGATTTGTGATTATTAACAACATTTAAAAGGGGCACTTTATGGATTTTAAATTTAGAAAAACATCTTCGTATGGATCATAGACTGAGTTAAATGATATATAAGGGAAGGAAAGTCCCTTTCCACCTCCAAATATGCAGTCAAAATTTATGAATTTGAAGAAAATATCTGGAATGGTATGAATATGAAATGAAAAAACTTGGGTAAATTTTGACTGAGATATTAAGAGAAAGTCCGTGAGACCATCGATCGGAGATACATAATCTATCTACGTGCCCGTATGGTGTGTAGAGAAATTTTTCGATTCTTAAGGAGAAATAGCTGGGGGAAGACACCGTCGTACGGGGAAAATTTTCAAAATCACGTCAGATTCTGCACCCCTGTCATCGAGGCATCAAAGTACTCGATAAAATTTGAAATTTTGATTTTTCGTGTTCATCAGATAATACACAGTGTGAAACTAATAAAGCTAAATGTTTTACTTCATTCGGAGCTTGTATAGCGAAATTAGCCTTGATCCACTTTTAGCATCATTATCGCATTATGAACAAAAAGTGATAAATTATCTCATAAATATTTAGTACAACTGTGCTATCAAAAATGAATGAATGTTCTCATGCAGTAACCCCTCCCCCACCCGTATTAAAAGCCTCTCAGGAACTTTTAAACTATCCACTGTTCAAAGTTTTTGAGGGAGGCTTCTATTAAGGGAAGGCTACTAATATGATTTTCGTATAGTAATTTCGAAAAGCATAAATTAAGAGTATCATTTTTTCGATGATCTTACCTATATATTAGTAGTAGGTTCAAATAATCTTGTAACACTGTGAAACTTCATATAGAGGGTGTGGGTGTGGGTGAGCATTATGTCCTTTTTACTATCCAAATCCATCCACACCCTCAAGATTCCGCACCCGGAGTCCGTGTTCCAAAGATTCAATCCATTATTAAAAATTTCCAACTATAGTTTATGAGTCGAGGGAAGGATTTTTAGGGAAAGAATAATTTTCTGCTGAACTGAAAAATGGATTTTATAGAATAAAATGAGTTGACATTCTAGCAGTCATTGGAAGGGGTAATACATTCTAATGTATTAGCCTAATAGCACACTCAATATTCTCAGCAGCGTCAAATATATGAAATTTTTGTAGAGGTGTGCTTAGTTGCGAAGAAGAACAAGATCAATACATCCAGTTGCACTTCTGTACCCACATCTTATAATCGTTTCCCTAATGTACCGTGATACTCAAATCCAAGTGCTAGTTAATTCGCGATTATCGATACTCAAGTCTACTTTTTACATGTATCTTTTCTGGCTCAGTAATCCAGCATGGACATTTTTTCAGCAGAAGTGCTGACTAGTGAGATTTCTCTCAAGCATGACTTGAAAAGGCTCATGTAAACATATACGTATATAAAACTGAGGGTAAATTTTGTCATGCCAAATAGAGAGTAATCAACTATTGTTTGCTTGCCTTCGGATAATGGAGCGATTGAGCATTTGTCGGCGCCCCTTCAGTCGCCACACAAGAATAGTCGTTCCTAGTGCAAGTGGACCCGAAATTCACGATACATAAGTTCTAATAAAGGCTAGCTTTTTTCAGAATACAGCACTAAGGCTCTATTAATAAGAAATTTGGATAAAACTTTCATTGACTTGCCAGACAATGAAGTTAAAGATATAAGAAATAGCTCATAAAAAGTTTCAGTTTGGAATTTCTCATCGAAAATTCTCCACTAATAAATCTAATGATTTTTCGAGTCGAATCTAGTCCGAAATTAGATAGTATGTAAATCAAAAATGATAATCGTATGAAGAAGTAGAACCAAGGGGGAAAAGTGGATCCCGTCTATCCGGGATGCGGTCACAATCCAGAGGATACGTAGGATCCAGAGGATACGATGGCGATACGTACGATACGATTACAATCCAGAGGATACAGAGGATACGATTACAATCCAGAAGATATCTGTCAAAAGTTGGCTGTAAAATTTGATGTAGTGATGCAAATATAAATTTTATACGATGCAAAACATGAGATTAATATCGAATCAATCCTGTGGACGATTTATCATCACTATCAAAGAATTTTGAGTGTTTTTTAATATGTATTTTTTGTAGCTAATCACAAGATCTTATGAGATTTGATGAATTTTATATTCAAAATAAAATTACTCAAATAGTTGTTGTCTAATTGTTCATTTTCTAACGTTCAATCTATCTATGTACAAGACAGTCGGACTAGTCGAACGATAGAGAAAGAGAAAAATAACAAATTTCTATCTAGCTTGTTCATAAACAACTTTTTCCGTTATACATCATCTCGTAATTCTCTTGTATATCGTATTCAAATTCTTATTTTACAATGCTTCCAGGTACATTGAATGTAGACATTACAGTCCTTCCTTCAGATGTATTATCATTATTTTATGAACCCTTTTATGAATTAGTTCATAAATTAGCTGGTCCTGTTGAAGCCAAGTTGCTTGAAGTGCAAGGTATTCGTAGTGCTTATTCATTAATCCATACTGAAGACATATTTGATATATTAAAGTATGAATGTAAAGCATTGGATGAAATTAAAAGAAAAGCTTGCTTTTTATTGAATGATAATCGGTATATTGTTAAACCTGGCTGTAAAAGTAATATGCGTTACTTTACTCAATTACTCAATTTGAAGAATCAAGAGCATTTGAAATCAAGTGGTCTTCGAATGAAGTCAAAAAACAAGTCTAATGATACTGATAATACTGGTTCATCAATATCTCAATCACCAGCACAAGTTCTTCCTCTATCTTAACCATTATCACAAAGTACGACAACACAAACAACAGGTTAGCATATGAAAATGTTTGGTTCGATAAATTATACTCTTTTAGTCATAGACATTTATAACATTTACTATTTTTCCGGAGTACATTATTGGGAAAAAAAACGAGGAGTCTTAATGTTCAATTAATTCTATTTTTACGATAACTATGCGTCCTAGATTACCTGTCACATGTTTATTGCGACAGTTATGTAATATTTTAGAAATTCTATAAAATATTATTTCATACATATTTTAGAAATGTTTTATTTAAGACTTAGTTTTATTGGAATGAAATGCATATAATAGTTAAATTCAGAAACATCCTTAGACACTTCCAATAAATGATCGAGAAAGCGAGATTTCTCGTAAGAAATGCGCAACATAAATTATGAATAACATAACAGACACTATATCTTTAGTTTAATTATTCATGAATAAAGTAGTGATAAACAACAAAAACGAAAAAATATTTTCAATAAATGAGGAATGCTTTTCACTGTTGCTTATGCTGATAACTGATCATTTAAATATGATGGTAAAATATTTACTAGATCATTACAGATACTGTTCGTATATTTTAGTATTATATGTTAACTATTCATAAGTCCACACTGTATTCAGTAAAGTTGCATTAAATCAATTTCATTTACATATTTAATTAAATAAAATAGAACAAAATATAAGGTTTACATAAGGAGCGTGATAAACAAATAATATGATAATCACAATCATTACAATATTTATATGTGAAAATAGTCATTAAGCTAGAGAAGTCTTTGTAATTAAAGAAGAAACTGTCAGTTTGTTCAATTTTCGCATAACAGTATAATTAGTTGTTATTTTTTCTCTCTAAGAGATCCAATAAAAGAAAAAATACATAGTAAACCAGGAATCTTTATGTTTTAGATAAAAATGGACAATGGATTGCGCAAGTGTCTAATGCTTAATTTGCTGTTATGAGTAATCATTTTCGTCCTACAACTTCGCATATGTTGTGCAGCCACTAAATAATAAATTTTCATGTATTTCTCGCTTTTTTCTCGAAACTTCATTCCTTAGAAATGAATGATATCTTGTGAAATGATAATAAAATGACAGAAAATCAAATTTTCTCCTTCAAGAATGATGATCTCTTAATATCTATCTCAGAAAGGATACAATTAAATGTCTATTGAAAATAATAAGCATAGGAAGTAAAATAAGAAAAATCAATTACTCTACGGACGAGAGAAAATGAGTTCTTTGATTAAGACGTGCTTTATTATCTCGAAGTGAATCGCCAGAGAAAAACTTATCATAGTGCTCATCAGAAGATATAAGCAATATGTATATACATTTGTAACGAAATATTTTGTGGGTTATTATTCTTTGGTTCTGGGTGAATTAATAAATCAAAATATAACGTTACGGGTTTTGCTGATATTTATTTTAATAACAATATGAGCACACACAGATAATAACAATTGATAAATAATTACAATACACACAATAATAATAAATGGAGAATGATTATCGTTTCACGATTCTAAGTTATAACTTCTATTTAATATTTCTAACTCAGTGACTCTCTTCCTTAAATTATCTATATCACTCCTTCTCAATGCTGCTCCATAATTATTTCTCCTTTCTCTACTTTACGTCCTCGTCGATCTCCCTATATCACCGTTCTTTTATATTCTCGCTCTTTTCTCTTTCTCTATTTTCTTCTATATTTCTATTCATTATACTATAAAAGGAAATTATCAACTAAATAAAGAATAACTTAGGCCATTTCGATTATTTCATTGATTGACATAAACTCCTGATCCTATCTTTATCATACTTGACCTGATGACGTACTGATAATATCAAGAGGATATTCTTTCTTATTATGACCTCACCTTGCA